CCTGTGTCTCTAGCCATAAAAGTCCGCTCTCCCGGGTGGCCCGGGACGGGGCGAGGGAGGAGGTAAGATTGTGGCCCAGTGTGTAGGCGAAAAGTGCGTCGGAGGAGAACTGAGGAGGGAGGGAAAACAGGCTGCCCCGCGGAGGTGAGCAGGGATTTTGAAGAAAGCTCCCGCAGCCCACCCGGCCCTGCTGGGCAGCCTGTTTTACCATCTTCAGTCTGGACCTGGCACCCCCCAGTGTCCAGCGACGGCCCCTCTTGGCCACGGACTTGTCGGGTCTGAGCAGGGGCCTCTCGGACCCTGGCAGGATTCTGTATTGGTCAGGGCCCTCTAGAGGAACAGAAGCCAGAGGAGGTATGATTATGAAAAGGGGGTTTATTAGCTTGGCTTCTACAACCAGAAGCTGGATCGTCCACAGTGGCCATGGCAGGCTGGAGAGCTGGAGGAACCAGCAGCAGCATGGACCAAGATGCTGAAGCCTCAGAACAAGAGAGGTCAGTGGTGCTGCCCCAATCCAAGATGAAGGCTTCTGAAAACTCCCTGGAGAATCACTGGCAGAGTCCACTTGGGAAGAGTGGAGGAGCCAGAGTCTGATGCCCTCCTACCATCCCAGCAGCAATCAAAGTCAAGAAGAATCTAGCTTGCATCTGCTGCCACTTCCTGGTTCTTCAGCTTTTATTCCATCCAAGCCTCCAATCTATTGGACTGGGCTGCCCACATATAGGGAGGCTCTCCACTTTGGTTAGCTATCCCACATGCCAGTCATTCCTAGACATATCCTCACCGACACACCAGAAGCCTCTTTTTTTACATATTATTTTTAGTTTTAGGTGGACACAGTATCTTTATTTTACATTTATGTGGTGCTGAGGATCGAACCCAGTGCCTCATGCATGGTAGGCGAGTGCTCTACTACTGAGCCACAACCCCAGCCCCCAGAAGCCCGTTAATCCTCAGCATTTTAATCCAATCAAGTTGACGATTTAAATTAACCATTATAGGGGCTGGGGATGTGGCTCAAGCGGTAGTGTGCTCGCTTGGCATGCGTGCGGCCCGGGTTCGATCCTCAGCACCACATACAAACAAAGATGTTGTGTCCTCCGAGAACTAAAAAAAAATAAATATTAAAAAAAATTAACCATTATAGATCACAAACAGTGGAGACCCTGACATCCCTCCTGGCTTGTGGGGAAGAGAGCTGGGAGACAGGACTAGGGAAGGTTTGGGAAGATGAGCTTGGCAGAGGATGCAGTGTGGTGGCCAGAAGAAGGGGTCAGTCTGCTCAGCCCTTCATCTGCAGTGTGAGGTCAGTCCTTGTTCCTGAGTCCCCTAACCCTGGGATGTAAAAGTCACTCAACAAATACTTGTGGATAAACAAATTTCCTCAAATTGAGGGTTTATTGTTGCCCATATTAGAGAAGAGAGAATGAAGGTCTGGCCCACACAGGCCTCTTGGGCACCTGTGCCAGAGTCTGAAGCTGTCTCCACTTTCTGGGCATCAAGGCACAACAAAATTGGGGCTAAGTGACAAGGCCATGGGACCAGAGGTGGTGTCCAGTGGGCATGGGTGGGCAAAGGGAGGGTGCAACTCCCGAGCCCAAGATGAGAGGGGAATGGGCTGGGGTGAAAAAGTACCCTGTGGTCCTGTGCTGGGTGGTTTAGGGCAGCCCCTTTGTGGGCAGTGGGCAAGGGGGAACCAAAGTAGTAATCTACAGATGGATGTCAGCAACACCTGGGCTCTGTCATCAGCCTCCTTTTAGGGAAGGAGAGGATAAGGCCCAGGCTCTCAGACTGGAATGGTGCAGAAGCCACAGTAGTTCTTCCAAGGCAGCTAGTTAGGACAGGGAGGGGACAGCTCTGCCCACACCCCAGCCTCCACCTGTCATCCCCAGATTCATTTACCTTTCTGCAGGATATGCACCTACCTCAATGCCAGCTCTTGAATGCACTTAAGGATACAGCCCTGAGGTTCCCTCCTCCAGGGTCCTCCTCAGACGGCAAACTCTCTGGCTTCTCTTCACTGCCAGCCAAGGATCCCTTTCTGGCCAGGTCTGCCCACCCTCACTCCCTCAGGTTGGGGTGGAGGAGAGTCAATGAGGAGGGAGATCTCAGAATCCAAAAGTGTCCAGGTGGTGATCCCTAGAACCTGTGAGTCTGCTAACTTACCTAGAAAAATGGACCTTGTAGACTGATTAGATTAAGAGTCTGGGGATGGGAGTTATCTTGGATGATCTGTACAGACCCAGGGTACTCTCACAGTCTTTTCAAGTGAAAGAGAAGGGTCAGAGAGGTTTGTAGATATTATGCTGATGGCTTTGAAGAAACTATGCCAAGCCAAGGAAGACAGCTGTAGAAGCTGGGAAAACTAAGGACACAGATTTTTGCATAGCCTCCAAAAAGAACTAGAACTGTTTGAACCTGGATGTTAGTCCAGTGAAATGATCTTGGGTTTCTGAACTGCAGAACTGTAAGATAATAAATGTATTGTCCTAAGGCATTGAGTTGGGGATAGTTTGTTACAGTAGCCAGAGAAGGGACCACCAGCCCTGCTCCTGCGGGCTGGTTTCCTTCCTGAGGCAAGGGTGTGGCTTCCCAGTGACCCAGTGTGCTAACCCCAGCTCCCACGGATGGATGTTCACAGTGGTGTGGGGCAAGAACTGGTCTGGGAAGACACACCCTGGACTCCCTGGTGTTCCTCCTCTGGCTTGCCACCTGAACTACTTCTGAAGACATGCCTGAGCCAGGGTGTTGGGGCCCTGGCAAGCCTGGGGTACCCGCAAGCATTCCTAGGCTGCATCTCAGTGATCTGTGATGCCACCAATTTCCAGTAACCATTCCCCCAGTAACCTCTTGGCACCCACTGCGTTTCCAGTGCTGGCGACAGACATGTGAACATCACACAGGAGCTTCCCATCACACATGAGCCTCCCCATCCCTTGGTGAACCCCCCAACACCAAGTGGGGTTTCAAGGCCTGTGGTCAGTCTGTGCAGAAGGTAGCTACCATCGGCCTCTCCTGGGAGCCCATGCCACCTTCCCTGAAGACTGCTGTGAACTAGGAGACTCCAACTTCCACGGGAGCTGGAGGAGAGGCTCCGCAGAGCTGATGGAGCCATGGAGAAGGAAACTGGCCCCTGCTTCTTCACATCAAGGAAGCGGCCAAGAATGTGAGGAGAGCCTACGGAATGGGAGAAAATCTTGGCCAGATGCACCTCAGAGCATTAATCTCTAGGATATATAAAGAACTCAAGAACTCAAAAAACTGAACGTCAAAAAAACAAATAACCCAATCAAAAATGAACAAAGGAACCAAACACTTCACAAGAGAAGAAATATGAATGGTCAATAAATATATGAAAAAATGTTCGATATCTCTAGCAATTAGAGAAATGCAAATTAAAACTACAATGAGATTTCATCTCACTCCAGTCAGAATGGCAATTATCAAGAATACAAATAACCATAAATATCAGTGAGGATGTGGGGAAAATGATGAATTTGTACATTGCTGTTGTGACTGCAAATTGGTGCAACCACTCTGGAAAGCAGTATGGAAATTCCTCAGAAAACTTGGAATGGAACCACCATTTGACCCAGCTATCCCACTCCCTGGTTTGTGAGCTTGGTAGGGGAGGCAATACTAAATATCAGCATAGTACAGTAACAGCTCAATTAACAATAGCTAAGTTCTGAAACCAACATAGGTGCCCTTCAATAGATGAATGGATCAAGAAAATGTAGTACATATACACAATGGAATATTAGCCACAAAGAAGAATGAGATTATGGCATTAGCTGGTAAATGGATGGAACTAGAGACTTTCCTGGTAAATGAAATAAGCCAATCCCCCAAAACAAAGGCCAAATGGTTTCTCCGATGTGTGGCTGCTAGGTGCCCTGGGGGTGGGAGGGTATTGTAATGGATTAGACAGGGCAGAGTGGTGGTGGTGGGGGGGAGAGAGTGAAGATGGGAATGGGAAAGACAGTATAATTAATCAGACGTAACTTCCTATGTTCACCATGAATACACAACCAGTGAAACTCTACATCATGTACTCCCACAAGTATGTATGTTATGTCAAAATACATTCTATCATCATATATAACTACATATATAACAAAAAAATTGACCCTTGGAAATTAGTCAGGGTGAAGGGACTCAGGCAGGAAAAGAGGCCAGAATCACTCAGGCTAACCAGGTAAGTCCAGGACTCCTCTAGTCACATCTTGTGTCTGACTTGGGCCACCTTGGCTTCCGTAAGCCATGATGACCACATCTGCCCCACAGCATGTTGGGAGGTTTGCAGGGTCATGATTCAGAGGTGAAGGCAAGCTGGGACTTAGAAACAGGGTAGCAGCCAGTCTTCATGAGATGTCCTCGCTGGGCCTCAGCAATTTAGCAAGGCCCAAAGCAACTAAGAGAGATGTGTCTCAAAAAGTAAATAGTTCAGGGGGCTGGGGATGTGGCTCAAGCGGTAGTGCGCTTGCCTGGCATGCGTGCAGCGGGGTTCGACCCTCAGCACCACATACAAACAAAGATGTTGTGTCCACGGAAAACTAAAAAGTAAATATTAAAATTCTCTCTCTCTCTCTTTAAAAAAAAAATAGTAAATAGTTCAGGGACAGTGGAGCATACCAGTAATCCCAGTGGCTGGGGAGGCTGAGACAGGAGGATCTCAAGTTCAAAGTCAGCCACAGCAATTGCAGGTGAGAAGCAACTCAGTGGGTCCTGTCTCCATTTTTTTAATTTATTTTTTATTTTTTATAATATTTATTTTTTAGTTCTCGGCGGACACAACATCTTTGTTGGTATGTGGTGCTGAGGATCGAACCCGGGTTGCATGCATGCCAGGCGAGCGCACTACCGCTTGATCCACATCCCCAGCCCAAGACCCTGTCTCTAAATAAAATACAAAATAGGGCTGGGGATGTGGCTCAGTGGCCGAGTGCCCTTGAATTCAGTCCCCAAGACACCCCTGCCACCACCCCACCCCCCCAAAAAAAAAAGTAAAAAGGACTGGGGATGTGGCTCAGCAGTTAAGGGCCTCTGGGTTCAATCTCTGGTACTAAAGAGAGAGACAAAGACAGAGACAGGGCCCTAATCATCCCTGGTCAGGTCACCTCTGCCCCTCTGAGCCTGAGTTCCAGCCAGGGGCATGCTTGTCTTCCTATGTGCATCCTGCAGGCAGTAGAGTGAAAAGAAAAGCTCACACTCCGTGTGGGATAGTTGTCCCTGCAAGGATCAGTGGAGGGGCATGACCACAAGATATCAACAGCAACTTTTCTCTCCAAGACCCCTTGACCTACAGTGCACCCCAAGGAAGAGTGGATCAGAACCTTCAACCCTGGTGCCAGCTGGGGATTCTTCTGCGCCCCTCTTTCAAGTTCAGAGCCCCTGTATGGATGTCAGTGGGGTAGCGCCCAGCTGGACTCCACTAGACTCCCAACTGGATCTTACAGGGATGAGGTTCACCAATGACCTCCAGGAAAACCCTTACAAACGTCAGGCCAGCCAGGGCACCCTCAGCTGGACAGCCATGGGAATCAGCCAGAGACATCTCCAGGAGGCCTCCCATGAGGGTCAGGTGTGTTCCCAGAGGATCCATGTGGGCCCGCTGCGGTGGTTGCTGCTGTCCGTGGTGGTACTACCTAAGTGCCCTGCCCAGTCGGAAGACATAGGTGCTGGGAATGCACACGCTAAGGCCCAGGGGATGCCCAGAGGATCCCAGGCGCAGCGCGGAGGCACTCATCGAGGTCCCCACACCCTCCTCATGCCCCGTAGTCGTGGGGTCCAGCCGGGGCCCTCCCCTGCTTGCCACGTGCGGTCTGATGGGTCGTCCAGCGTGCCGTCTGGCTGGGCTGGGTCCTTACGGACGCTCTCGCGCTCCAGCGCACCCACTGCAGTCCCTGGCAGGGTGTTGTCCAGGTCAGGTCTGGTGGGGCGCGGCGTCCAGGGTGGCCCCAGCGTGGGTCGCGGCGGAAACCAGGAGAAGCCGGGCTCAGGGGCCAGAGCCACCAGCTGCGGCCGCACGGGGCCGGCGGAGGCAGCGTGAGGGATGAGGAAGAAGATGTAGACGCCGGAGACCACGAGGCCCGCGGCCACCAGCACGGCCAGCGCAACGGCCGCGTTGAAGACCCAAGCCGG